TCCCTACCGTCCTCTGTCCATCGGGGGTGAGTTTGCCCTTGGCTGTGACGTCCTAGAGGACACAGAGTCTGAGCTGGAGTACTGGGCAGCCGCTTCTCCCTCTGTGTGTGCCATGCTGCTCTCCCCTGAGGGAGACCCCGACGCCCTTGACATACCGACTCCTCGCACTTACCGCGAGGCAGTGTCAGGGGCGTGGGCCTCTCAGTGGAAAGCGGCTATGGACTCAGAGTTGGCGTCTTGGAGATCCACAGGCACCTACGTCGACGCAGTTCCCCCTCCCAGGGCGAACATAGTCGATGGCATGTGGCTCTTCAAGGTGAAGTGGCCGCCTGGAGCACCGCCGGTGTTCAAGGCGTGCTACGTGGCTAGGGGCTTCAGTCAGCGTGAGGGAGTTGACTTCTTCCAGACCTTTGCCCCGACCCCGAAGATGACTACTCTTCGGGTGTTACTCCACATAGCAGCGCAGCGAGACTACGAGCTGCACTCCCTCGACTTCTCCACTGCGTTCCTCCAGGGCCGACTGCACGAGGAGATCTGGCTGCGCCGTCCTCCTGGCTTCATTGACACCTTCCCACCTGGGACCCAGTGGAGCCTGAGGCGACCAGTCTACGGTCTCCGCCAGTCGCCCCGTGAGTGGCACGACACTCTTCGCTCCACGCTTCGTGACCTTGGGTTCAGCCCGTCCTCCGCCGACCCGTCGCTGTTTGTTCGAGCGGGTTCTACTCCTTTCTTTATCCTTGTCTACGTCGACGACTTGGTGTTTGCTACAGCAGACAGGGCAGCCCTGACTCAGGTGAAGTTCGAACTGCAGAAGAGACACAAGTGCACTGACCTGGGTGAGCTGCAGCGTTACCTTGGCTTGCAGATCACCCGGGACAGAGCCGCTCGCACCATCACACTAACGCAGTCACACATGGTGCAGCAGGTCCTTCGGCGGTTCGACTTCCAGTTCTCCACCACACAGCCCACTCCTCTTGCTGTTGACCACAGACTCACTGGCCCCTTTCCCGGCGAGCCTTTTGAGTCCAGTGGTCCCTACGCAGAGCTGGTGGGCTGCCTCATGTACCTGATGACTTGTACTCGGCCGGACCTCGCCTTTCCCTTCAGCGTCCTCTCTCGCTTTGTTGCGACTGGGAGACACCGTCCTGTCCACTGGACAGCTGCTGTGAGGGTGGCGAAGTACCTGGCGACTACATCAGGCATGGGGCTTGTGCTTGGAGGGACTCAGCCAGTGGCGTTGACTGGTCACTGCGACTCTTCCTACGCTGACGACGTGGAGACTCAGCGTTCGACTCAGGGTTACTGCTTCAGTCTGGGAGCTGGTGCTGTGTCGTGGAGGTCTACACGGTCGTCGTCTGTGGCTACTTCCAGTGCAGAGGCAGAGATCTACGCTGGTGCCATGGCGGCACAGGAGCTTCGCTGGTTGACCTTCTTGCTCGCCGACCTTGGTGAGCGGCCTCGCTCTGCACCGACCTTGTACGCTGACAACAAGGCCATGATCCTCCTGTGTCGAGAGCCTCGACTGGAGAGCAGAGTGAAGCATATTGACGTGAGGTACTTCCTCCTGCGAGAGCTGCAGCGACGCGGCCAGGCACGCCTGGACTTTGTGGCCTCAGAGGCCAACACTGTGAAAATAAGCAGTAGAAGAAGGCGCCATAGCTAGGAAATCCCTAGCTAGGCAAGAAGCAGTTTAGGCAAAGAAGGAGGAGTTGCACTAGCAAGAATGAGGATACAAATAGCAAACCCTAGAAGGGTTGTACTCGCTATAGAGCACCCCACTACAGGCTAGAGCATGATATTCTGACACACCCCCATAGCCAAAGTGGGGTGTAATCAGCAGAGCAAGCAAAGCAGTACAAGCTCAGGGTGGATCACAATGTCACCACACATTCTGAGCACAAGTTCAAGAAGCAATAGTTTAAAGTTCACAATTATGAGCAAAGCTAGAGGCTATCGCAGAGGGCAAGTGAGGAGGAGGAGAGACTGTGAGAGGAGAGGAGGTAGTGGGCGGCAGCTGAAGCTGCTGGCACACGGCGCAACTGGAGCAACTGGCACACGGGCAACTGGAGCAACTGGCACACTGGCAACTGGAGCAACTGGCACACGGGCTACTGGAGTAACTGGCTCCGCGGCTAAAAGTAGCGGCAGACTAGCAACGGACTCACGGGCGACTGGAGCAACGGGCTCACGGGCGACTGGCGCAACGGGCTCACGGGCGACTGGCGCAACGGTCTCACGGGCGACTGGAGCTGTTGGCTTCACGGCGGCCACCCCCTTCAACCTCCCCAAACTATCCCACTCCCCCTGACACACACCCGCTGCTACACCGCTAGCTCCACTCCCCCTTCACCCCCCCTTAGTACCACTCCAACGGCTCCAACAAGTCCACCCCCCCTCAGCGGCAGCTGCAGCACAGGGAGACGAAGGAGGAGGAGGAGCAGGGAACGGCACACAGTAGCTTCACCCCCATACCCCTCACCCCCAAACCCTAATTCAGGAGAACGGGCTGTAGGAGGGGTGGGGCGCCAGTAGAAGCACGGGGGACAGCGGGGAGGGCAGGGGCAGCGAGGAAAGGGCCGCCCACGGGCCTGGCACAGCCTCCCGAACCGCGCGCAGGCGGCCCGAGCCGCGCGCGGGCCTGGCGCAGCCCGTACGGGCCGCGCGCAGGCCTGGCGCAGCCCGTACGGGCCGCGCGCCGGCTGTACGGGCCGCGCGCAGGCCACGACGGGCGACGGGGGGCGACGCGCGGGTCCCCGTCGCCCGTCGTAGCGCCTCCTGGGGGCGACGCGCCGAGTGACGGGGCAGAAACCCGTCGCGCGCCTCGGGGCGCACGGCGGGCAGAAAACCGCCGCGCGCCTCGGGGCGCACGGCGGGCTGAAAAACCCTAATTTCGACGCCGCGCACCACGGGGCGCGCGGCGGACAGGGAGTAGCAGTAGCAGCGGAAGCAGTGAGGTGGGGCCCACAGGCCAGGAGCATATCGCTCTGATACCATGTGAAAATAAGCAGTAGAAGAAGGCGCCATAGCTAGGAAAGCCCTAGCTAGGCAAGAAACAGTTTAGGCAAAGAAGGAGGAGTTGCACTAGCAAGAATGAGGATACAAATAGCAAACCCTAGAAGGGTTGTACTCGCTATAGAGCACCCCACTACAGGCTAGAGCATGATATTCTGACAAACACTGCAGACGTCTTCACCAAGGCCTTGGCGCTTGGTGACCACCACAGGTTCTGTGTGCAGTTGGGGCTTGTTGAGGTAGGCCCTCGGTTGCTGTAGTCTTGTTGTTTGCTCTGCTTGTTGTGCTTCCTATTTATATCCTAGTGAACTCTTGAACTGGCCTTGTGGCCGCTTGCTTGCGCTCGGAATTTGTGTGGTGTCCTTGAGATCCACCCTGAGCTTGCCTTGTTTCTTGCTTTGACTGGTCTTGTGACCGTTTGTTCACCTTGCTTGCTTTGATGCCCCTCACTTAGCCTATGGGGGTGTGTCAAATGTAATTCTATGCTTGTAGGCTACAGTGAGTAGCACAATAGGGAGTACAGTTGTTAGGGTTGCATATTTGTACTCTCACACTTTCTAGTTTCAATAATTCCGTTGCATTCCTATTCTGAGAATAGGAAACCCTAAGGGGTCGTACTCACTACAGAGTACCCCATTGCAGGCTAGACAAACTACATTCTGACACAATCGAAGCACGCACTACCGAGGCTGAAGACAAAAAGGCGGGAGTGATGCGAAGGGTCGTACGGTTACGAAACATCTGGACCGTCGGGCAGACAACATCAGGCAGCAGCAGTGGCGAGGATTCTGCCCGGACAGATTCGTAACCGTCTGGAGTCGCACGGTTGGGTTTCGCTGCAATAAGGGAATGTACCCCTTAGAGTACATGGCTAGCCTAGGTCGATTCGTATTCCCTTGTACTCTTATTTATATTCCTGTATTTGCATGTTTTTATTATCTCAAGCATTTTACATTTACTCTGCTATTGAGGTCAAGGGCCCACCACCATTACTCAAACGTGTGCGAACCTTCCTGAGGTGATCCTAGGGATGATCAACGTCTGATCGCAGCAGTTAGTTTGGGTGTACGGCTGAATACGGGGCGTGTGCAAATGACGCGATATAGCCACTGGATTACGCGATGTAGTGTAAACTCAGTTAGGATGAGAAATTTCCCTATACGATACCAACGAAAGTGTGGACGAGAAGCATGCCCGAAACAAAATAATAAGAAAATGTTCCAAGGCCTAAAACAACAAGGAATTGGATGACGAGCATGACATTAAATAAGAATGCCACAACGTAGTAGAAAGTTATATTCAGATTGGATCTGAATGAAAGCGGGGATGGATGGAGGAAAAGCGGAAAGGATCAGGTGTGTGTTGAACCCACAATCAGATCAGGTTGATTGGAGGGATTGTGCTACCAGTCCTGATATTAGTCGTCTTTTAAAATTTTTTGTCAAATGACACTCGTCGACCATTCACCGTGACATTCAGCATTTGCCTTATATGTTCGATAGCCAGCATAGAATCGCACATGGGTCGCGGAAAGCGCGAGGCGGAGGGCAATCGAAGCGGTAATGGAGGTCGGGGCAAATCGAAGCGCCACAAGTCGCGATACCTGAACGCTGTGAGCCTTCGGATTTATGTCGCGACGCATTAGTCACCGTAACCGACAGGCGTGTAGCGATGCGTTCTGTGGCGCTGAGACGAATAACGACGTTCATAAGCGACGATTCTCAGTCGCTTAGCATTCGCGAGTCACGGCAGCATCCGTCGCTGCTGTGATCTCGGCGGCGAGCGCACACGAGTCCGATCCGCCCCACTTCCCGCCCTTCCCCTTCCCCCCTTTCCCCTTCCCCCTTTTTTCTTTCGCGCTCTCTCCTCCCCGTCCCGCACACACCTCCGTCTTCCCTCCCCCCTTCTCGTCTCCTCCGCCCACCGTGTGCTCCCACGGCGCTGCCTCTCTCCTCTGGTCCTGATATCGTTTGAGCACTTAGTTCTGCATGATGCAGATTATACCGCTGTCGCCTCTCTCCTCTGGTCCTCACCTGTCCGGCCCGGGTCGCTTGCTGTCCCCCTTTCCCCCCCCCCACCCCCGCCATCTCTCTTCCCTCCAACATCCCGGCCCACGAATCTCCGTTGCCATGCACCCAAAACCCGAAACCCTTCGTTGTTGCTCGATTTCGCATGCACCCGAAACCCGAAACCCTTTGTTGTTGCTCGCTCTTCCATGCACCCGAAACCCGAAACCCTTCGTTGTTGCTCGCTTTCGCATGCAATCAAATCCCGAAACCCTTTGTTGTTGCTCGCTCTCCCCTGCACCCGAAACCCGAAACCCATTGTTGTTGCTCGCTCTCCCATGCATCCTTCTGCTGCTCCTCCTCCCTTTCTGCTCCCCCCCCTGCTCCTTCCTCCCGCCCCCCTCAGAGCGGGGGGGTGAGCGGGCCCCATCGCGAATGGCAGCAGGGGGTGGCTGGTCTCGAGTGTGACTGGCAGGGAGAGGGAGTGCGGGTCAAAATGATTCCTCCTCATCTTCTCCCTTCCCCTCCTCTCCCTTCTCCTCTCCTTTTTTCTGCTCCTCCCCCTCGTGCCCCACAGAGCGGGGGAGGAGCGGGCCCTATCGCGAATGGCAGCAGGGGGTGGCTGGTCTCGAGTGTGACTGGCAGGGAGAGGGAGTGCGGGTCAAAATGATTCCTCCTCATCTTCTCCCTTCCCCTCCTCTCCCTTCTCCTCTCCTTTTTTCTGCTCCTCCCCCTCGTGCCCCACAGAGCGGGGGAGGAGCGGGCCCTATTGCGAATGGCAACAGGGGGTGGTTGGTGTCGAGTGTGACTGGCAGGGAGAGGGAGTGCGGGCGGGAGATTGTGAACGTGCTTGATGAGGTGAGGCGAGCCAAGGGGGAGAGGCACGATGAGGTGAGGCGCACAGGGGATCGGTGGGTTTCGGGGTTTAGGGTGAAGACGAGGGGTTCTAGATTCTTCAGTCGGGGGGTTGGGTCTGGCTGGTCTCGTGTGTGATGGGCAGGAAGAGGTATTGCGGACAGGAGATAGTTGAGGCCCACAGGAGATAGGTGAGGCGCACAGGAGGTGAGGCGCTCAGGAGGTGAGGCGGGTTTAGAGCTTAGGGTGAAATGGAGGGATTACAGATGCTTCAGTGAGGGGGTGGGTGGTGTCGAGTGATACAGATGCTTCAGTGAGGGGGTGTAGGAAGTTGAAGGTGTAGTACGGTTCCAGGAGGTTCCAGTTCCACTCTCATGGGGTTCCTTCCAAGAGTAGTACGATGTGTGTCTCATGAGGTTCCACTCTCGTTAATTGTCAATATGCTGGACGATGTGGGGTGAGGCACACATGGAAGGGAAAATACGGTTTAGGGACAAGGGGTTGAAGTGTTGTCGTCGGACTGCTGAGCGAAATATAGGATACACACAATCTATTGAGCTGTATAGAGTCCTGTTTGATAGTTTTTGGTTATGAGCCCCTAGTCAAGCAGGGTTTCTGTTGCAGGGAGGAGGGAGGATCGGGTCAAGAAGTCTGTCTGCAAGCACATCGTGCTTGAAGGGCATTGGATACCTAGACAGGATCATAGAGTTTGGGATTTGGATACAACACAACATTCACTTCACAGATCTTTCTGTTGATTCTGAGCCTGACTCCCTGAGACACTGGTTGAGTCAGAAGAGCCTACCCTGTCAGGTCAGGAGACTTGCTCACAAGAAGCACGTCCCCTCCCCTGTTCGCCTCACAGTGGTGCAACAAGCTGGTGGCTGGCAAGGCAGGTGGGAGGGGGAGGGGGAAGGGGAGGGGGAGGCAAGCAAGGTGGCTGGGGAGGGCTTTTCTGACTGAGCTGATGTTGCTTTCTCCCCTGCTCGCCCCACAGTGGTGCAACAAACTGGTGGCCGGCAAGGCAGGTGGGAGGGAGGGAGGGAGGGAGGGAGGGAGGGAGGGAGGGAGGGAGGGAGGGAGGGAGGGAGGGAGGGAGGGAGGGCGCAGCTTATCTGCGCATCTGCTTTTCATCTGAGCTGAGTGTTTGCTTCTTCTCCTGCTTTCTCTCTCCCTGCTCGCCGCACACACAGTGGTGCGACAGGCTGCTGGCCAGCGAGGCGCAGAGGGAAGGGGAGGGGGAGGCAAGCACTGGGGGAGGTGCCTGGGGAGGGCGTATCTGACTGAGCTGTTGGTTGCTTTTCTTCCTTCCATCTCCCCTCCCCTGCTTGCCCCACACACTGTTGTGCGAAAAGGTGGTGCCCATTAAGGCGCGGGCAGAGGGGGAGGCAAGCACTGGGGAAGGTGGCTGGGGAGGGCGTATCTGACTGAGCTGATGTTGCTTTCTCCCCTGTTCGCCCCACACACAGTGGTGTGACAAGCTGGAGGCCTGCAAGGCGCAGGGGGAGGGGGAGGGGGGGGGGGAGGCAGCGACTGGAGAAGGTGCATCTGTGGGGAAGGCGAAGGGAGGGTCGTCCATTGATGCCCTGCTGGCGAATGAAGTGGCTGCACTCAAGAAGCAGGTGCGTGTGGAGAGGGGGAGCCTCACAGGTGCGTGTGCGTGTTGAGGGAATGGAGGTGAAGGCGAAGGGAAGCAGGTGCGTGTGGGGAGGGGGGTGAGGAAGCAGGTGCGTGTGGAGAGGGGGGTGAGGAAGCAGGTGCGTGTGGAGAGGGGGGTGAGGATGCTTAGTGAAAATCCTTTCCCCTCCTTTCCTCTCCTTTCCCCTCCTTTCCCCTCCTTTCCCCTCCTTTCCCCTCCTTTCCCCTCCTTTCCCCTCCTTTCCCCTCCTTTCCCCTCCTCTCCCCTCCTTTCCCCTCCGTTCCCCTTTTCTCCTCCGTTCCCCTCCTTTCGCCTCCTTTCCCCTCCGTTTCCCTCCGTTCTTCTCCTTTCCCCTGCTTTCCCATGTTGTCCCCTTCTTTCTCCTCCATTTCCTTCCTTCCACCTCTTGCCTCTGATCCCTATCCTCCTTCCCTTTCTACAAAGGTCCACTGTTCGTGAGGCAGCATTCCCGTTTTTCCTTCACCCTCCCCTTATCTCCCTCCCACTCCTTCTCCTCGTATCCCTCCCTCTCCCTCCCACTTCCTCCCTCTCCCTGTGTCCCCCAGGCTCGTTTGCAATCGTGGGCTCAGGCTACCAGGTGCCTCTATTTTGTTCCCCTTGTGCATTCCCCCCGCCGCGTTTCCTCCTTTCCCTTCTCCCTTCCTTGTGCATGCCCCTCAGAGCCTCGGTTCATGACTGTGTAGTCTGGGTGCAAGGCGCTGCTGTTCGCAAAAGTGGCCAGCACAAACACCCATCACTCCGCCTCTCCCAATCCTCTTTTCCCTCCCTCTTCCTCCCCTTGCCCCTCCTCGTGTCCAACCCCTTGTCCCGAACGCTCTCACTTGGTCTCACTTCGTGAGCCTTGAGTCTGGGCGCAAGGCGCTGCTGTTCGTGAGAATGCTCAGTAGAAACCCCATTGCTCTCCCTCGCCCTCCCTTCTTCTCCCTCCATCTCCCTCCCCCCCTTCTTCCTCCCTCTTCCCCCCCTTGCCCTCCCCTTGTCTCTCCCTCCCGTTCCTTCTCAGCCTCGGTTCGTGAGTGTGGAGTCTGGGTGCAAGGCGCTGCTGTTCGTGAGGATTAGAGAGGATGCCAGGAAGGGGGGGAAGGGAGAGCATGACGAGAAGGGTGAGAAGGGAGGAAAGCAGTTGGAGGAGGGAGAGGAGAAGGAGGTGGAGGGTGAGAAAGAGGAGGCGGGGAAGAAGGTGGAAGGTGGAAAGGAGGAGCAGAAGGGTGAAGGAGAGAAGGAGGCGAAGGAGGGAGATAAGGGCGGGGAAAAGGAGCAGGAGAAAGAGCAGGAGGAAGGGGTTACAGGAGGAGGAGAGAAGGTACCAGAGAAGGAGGGACAGGGAGGGGAGGGGGAGAAAGGGGAGGCGGGGGGAGAACAGGGAAGGGTGTCGCCGTGTGAGTTGGCAGAGGCGGTGCTGCGGCATGCCAAGGCCACCCAGCAGTCAGCCACTCGGTGGGTGTGAGGCGGCTTGAGTTGAGGCATGGGATGAGAGACAAGGAGGGCGCAAAAGGGAGGAGAGAATGGAGGGGATGAGTGTGTGAGTTGGCAGAAGCGTTGTTGAGGCATGTCAAGGCCACCCAGCAGTCAGCCATTCAGTGTGTGCAAGGCGGTGGGTGTGAGACAGTGGGTGTGAGTCACCCTCCTTATGCTGTCTTCTGCCAGGGGCAACCACGTCGCACGCCTCCCAGAAGGAACAACCCTGCAGAGCCACTCAGACTCCTCCCTCGCCCTTGTGTACCTTGATTCAAATTCCCCCACCTCCGCCGGCTGCTGCCAGTGGAAGCCATGTCTCAAACCTCCCAGGAGGAGCAACCCTGCACTGCAGGACCACTCAGCCTCCCCTCCCTTCTCCCCCGTGCTCCCATTCACCTACCAATCTTCACCTCCACCTGCTGTCAGTGGAAGTCACGTCTCATGCCTCCCAGGAGGAGCAACCCTGCAGAGCCACCCACTCAGAATCCTCTCCCTTCTCCCCTGCCCTCCACTCAACTTTCCAGCTTCATCCTCCGTCTGCAGCAAGTGAATTCGACCTGCTACGCCTCCCATTCACCTTTCGAATTTTTGCCATTCAGCCTACACCTCTCCTTCCTCTCTTGTGCACTATCCACCGCCTGCTGCCCTCAATTCCTCTGTCTGCTGCCAGTGGAAATGACATGCCAGGCTTGTCAGGAGGAGCCCTACAGAACCATTCAGACTCCTCTCCCTTCTCCCTTGTGCACCATTAACACCCCCCTCCCCACCCACCCCAATCCCCCACATTCCCAGCTTCACCCTGCGTGTTACGCCTCCCAGACGGAACCTTACAGAGCCACTCAAACTCCTCTCCCCTCTCCCCTACGCACCATCTACACCACCTTTCCAAACCCCCTTCTCCCCACCTCCCCAGCTTCACGTGAAATGAGGGTGTTTTTGAGACGTCTCAAAAACATCCTCATTCCACATGGCTTAATTGTTAGTGTTAGCCCTCAGTCTCACATTTTGTACTTGTACTTTCTATATCCTAGTTTAGTGTAGTTTGCACTATGTGTCTGGTTGGGTGTACACCCACATCCCAACCAAACCCAAATGTGATCTTCAAGCAATCTCCAACCCACCAATTGGAGATTGCCTTTGGATTACCCCCAATTCCTAGAGATTGCTCCCGATTCCCTCCCCATCCATTCCTTGCTCATTCTGGATGTACTTAAAGAGCTTCAAGCTCATTACTAATGGAAACAGCACCTCTCCAGCTTCACCCTCTGTCTGTTGCCAGTGGAAACAACATTCTACGCCTCCCAGGAAGAGATTGAGAAGCCATGAATGAACCCAGGCTATAAGGCGTGTACCCAGCTTAGTTGGAGTATACGCTAAATTTATTTTGCGTTTTGAGTTTATACGCGCTAAAAAAACGACCGCAGCGTTTTTGGTTCGGAAACGCTGAAAAACGCACGGGCTGACCGGGAAAAAAATAATCAAAATTTTAGTTTCGGTTCTTGACGTGGCGATTCAAATGTGGGGTTCCGCACGTCGCGAGTTCAACATGAATTTCGAATTTTCAACCCGAGTCGCACCAAACCCACCCTTCACCTCTGCAAACCCCCTTGTACCCCATTCACTTCCAACCTCTTCAAACACAACATTGAGGTGAGTCCCCCGCAACCCACCCTCCATCTCTAACATAAATGTCGTTATTTTCCACTCGTTATTCATTAGTCAGTTCTGCTTTCTTCTATTGCTCGCCTCTTCAGCATGGCGACCCCTCCTTCAGCAACACCCAGTAGTACTGCTACCCCAACTGCAGCTCCTCATGCTAGTTCTGTTGAGGAAACCAGCGCCGATTTGGTTATCATGCACGAAACTCATGCTGTGTACGAGCACTTCCTTGTGAAGGAAGGCGACGAAAGCGGCCACGCCACCAAGGTGTGCAAGTGGTGTCGCCACAAGTTTACGGGCGGTATGTACCGCGCTGCTCAGCACATCACCAGCTGGAAGGGTATGCGGCGTCGTGAAGTCCGCATCTGCAAGGATGCTCCCAAGGCCGCCCGGGATGGAGTGAAGGCGCTATACGAGACGAAGTCCAAGTCGCGGGAGCAGAAGAGCGCGGCTGAAGTCTCGGCCGTTGCTGCAGTTTCCGGCGCTGTTGGCGAGGCGGCGAAGAGGTCTTGCATGACCGACTTCTACGGCGACGAGTCAGCCGGCAAGAAGAACGATGCCGACGAGTCGATCTGCCTCGCGTTCGCCGCTCTGCGCCTCCCCGAACACCACGCGGACCACCCTGTTTCGCGCAACATGGTCTCCTGCATTGCGCGTGCGGGCGACGGCTACGTCGCACCGAGGCGGCGGTTCATCGGTGGCGTCGGGCTCCAGAAATGTCGTAAGCGCATTGAGGCGGCGCTTGTTCCAATCGCGGCGAGCTGGCGACGGGATGGCGTAACGGTGTCGAGCGACATGATGACTGACCGTAACCACCGTCCGCAGGCGAATGTCCTTCTGATCAACGACAGTGGCGCGGTCTTCGTGGAGTCTGTCGACACAAAGATGGAACAGAAGACGGGAGGTTACATCGCTTCGCTTCTCCGTCCGATTCTCAAGAAAGCCGGACCGGAAAACGTGGTGGCATTTTGCATGGACGGCGGCTCGAACTATGCGGTGGCGTGCAGGGAGCTGATGGAGGATTACCCCCACATTGAGCAAGTACCTTGTGCTACCCACGTCCTCGATCTCATGATGGAGGACGTGGGTAAGATGGACTGGGCGACGAACCTCGTCTCCCGCGGGAACGAGATCATCACCTTCACGCACAGCCACCACTTCACGCGGGGGTATTTGCGGAGCCCACTGGTCAATGGCGGGAAGGGCAAGCAGGTCCTGAAACCCGCAGGCACTCGCTTCGGCACGCAATTCATCGCTATTTCACGCCTTTGCGAAGTCCGCCTTTCCCTCCTGCAGATGGTGTTAAGCGAGGAGTGGAACGACTGGGCAACAGGCGCAAGGAGTAAGAGCGCGGCCACTTTCCGCGAGCACATCATGGACGAGACTTGGTGGAAGACGGCCGAGTTCTTCACCAAGCTCATGGCGAAGCCGTTCGCCATCATGCGCGCTACGGATGCCACAACAAAGGGGATGATGGGGCGCCTCTATGACTCCATGCTGCAGCTCACCGAGGACGTGGATGACATCCTCGAGGAGCACTCCGCGGGGTACCTGACGAGGGTGGAGGTTAAGGATATCCGCCTCATCGTGAAGGACCGGTGGGACAAGTCCTTGGCGTGCCCCTTGCATGTGGTTGGCAGGATATTGAATCCCGCCAACCAAGAGGAGGGCATCTTCAGGAACGACGTCGAATGCACGCGCGTGCTGAAGGCCTACATCGCCAAGCACTACGACCACCTCACCTTCACCGATAGCGACGGCGAGGAGCGCCGTGCCTCCCTTGTGCTGCAGGAGGAGCTGACGGCGTACCTGACCCTGCAAGGAAGTTTCGGCCTGCCCACCGCCATTGAAGTCCGCGCGGCGGTGAAGGCGGGGAAGATGACGGCCGTCCAGTGGTGGACTTGGCACGCCACGGATGCGCCCCACCTTGCTACGTGCGCAATCCGCAATCTCTCGCAGCCGGTGTCCGCGGCGCCCTGTGAGCGCAATTGGTCCATGTGGGACGCGGTCCACACGGCAAGGCGCAACCGCCTCGGGTCCGAGAAGTGCAGGGACCTCGTATATGTTGCGCACAACTGGCAGGTTGTGCACAACTGGTACAAGGTCCCTCAGGGGCAGGGGGTGGTCAAGGGCAACATTCCTGAGGCGCCTCTTCCCGAGGGCTACAACATGGAGGAGGATGGGGAGGAGGAGGAGGTTGGGGAGGACGAGGACATGGTTCTTGAGGATGAGTATGCATAGACGTGCATGTGGAGAGGGGGTGGTATGGGATGGGATGGGATGGGAATATGTTGGGGAGTGAATCCTGGGAAAGGGAAGGGAAAGGGAGATGGGGTAGGGGGGCTAGTGATGTAGGCAAAAAGTTGTGTGCATGTAACCTGCCCTGTAATAAAAAGGGGAAGGGAGTTGACGGTGCCTTGCACCACCCCCTTCCCCACCTCTTAACCCAAACATTTCCCCTGCCCGAAACTTTTTTTACCTCTGCCCGGCCCTGCGTTTTCACTGCGTATCGGATCCCTCCAAAGATGCGTACAGCGTTTAAACGCTAGCGTTAAAACGCTTGCGTATGAAACGCGAAGCGCGTATACTCCAACTAAGGTACCCATGTCTATATAAATGACCACCATTCGGGAAGCCGTGAATCCTCTCCTTCCTCATATCCCCACCCCTTCTCCCCTCTGCTCCATTCACCTTCCCAGCTTCATCTTCATCTGGTGCTCCTTGTTTCCGTACCCCTTCATCTGCTGCCAGTGTTTTTGTATCCTCCTCCCTTTTGCCACTAAGCCTATCCCTCTCCCTTCTCCCATATCCTCCACATTGTCTCCTCACAGCATCTCCCTCTGGCTGCTGCCAGTTGAAACCACCTGCTGTGCCTCCCAGTGGCTGCTGTGCCTCCCAGTGGCTGCTGTGCCTCCCAGTGGCTGCTGTGCCTCCCAGTGGCTGCTATGCCTCCCAGCAGAAACCTTACTGATTCCTCTCCCTTCACCCCCCTTCCGCTTCCCCTTCCTTCCCTTCACTGTTTCACCCTCCGGCTGCTGCCTGTGAAAACCACGTGCTACGCCTCCCAGGATGAGATTGGGAGAGCATGCATCCTCCCCCTCCGCCTTTTGCCAACCAGCCTGCTCTCCCTTCTCCGCTCTGCACCATTCAACCCTCCCCTCCCCCACCCCAGCTTCACCCTCCGCCTGCTGCCAGTGGAAACCACCTGCTACGCCTCCCAGAAGGAGATTGATCCCTTCCCAAGCGACTTTTGAGTCGACTCAAAGTCACCACCTGCTACGCCTCGCAGGAGGAGATTGCCTCAGCCAGTCAGCCTCGTCGTTGCCGCTAACCACCTCCCTTCTTCCCTCCCTCCGCTCCATTCACCTCCCCCCAGCTTCACCCTGCGTCTGCTGCCAGTGGAAACCACGTGCTACGCCTCCCAGGAGGAGATCGCCTCAGCCATCAAGCCTCTCATTGCCGCCCACTTCCCCCCGGTCGGCCAATCAGCAAGCGACACGTCCGAGGCCCAACCCAAGGGATCAACGGTATGTATGAGTATGGTCGATTGGTAGGGGGTTTGCTTTGCGATAGGTCACTGTTCATCCTCGGTACGGCCTTGCTCGCGTTCTTTCCGCTTCAAGGTGTGTGTTAAGGCTTCAAGGCTCTGATGCTTTGATGCCCACGCCCTTTTGTAAGTCGACTCAAAAGGTGTGTGTTGATGACCACATGATCCCTGTAGGCGCACATCCCCCCTATGCACATCCTCCCTATAGGCGCATAACACATCCCACCCATTATTTGCGTCCTGTGCACGCAGTCATCATAAAACCAAAGATAAACTGGAAAATCAGAAAATGAGGTCTGCATAGGTTGATGAAGCGCATATCAGAGAGAAGATCCTTCCCTTCGTTAAACTACACATCACTAATACCAAACGCCGGAGCTATTTTTACTTATGATATTCTTCCTCTGAGCTTTACTTTCCAGTTTGTACAGCTGGAAATTTTGGTCGATACAGAGCTTGACCTTTCCCTTGCAGGCTCACCTCTGTTCATCCTCTACACATTGAAACCCACTATCAAACTCACCCTGCTTTCCCTTTGTACATATTTTGTGCGACCAACTGTTTGCAACTAACTTGTGAAACTGATCCAACGACAGCCTTGACCTTTCCCTTCTGGGTTCAGCATACATCCTCTTTTTGTCTCACCAGTTGACTTTTGAGTCGATTCAAAAGTCAACCTTCGTGGTTCAGTGTGCATCCTCTTTATAGGCTCACCTTGTATTCCATGACATGCTTCCTCTTTCCTGTACCGTTTGGAATCATAATTGAGAATCGAGCCAACTAAGGGCTTGACCTTTCTCTTCCGGGTTCAGCATACATCCTCTTTATAGGCACCCCTTGCATCCCGTTACATGCCTCCTCTTTCCTGCACAGTTCGGAATCATATTTGAGAAGCGAGCCAACGAAGGGCTTGAGAGAGCAGGCGTGATCGACACTGTAGCCAAGCTGGTGCCTGCTCCGCATAAAGTGGACCTCCGGAACCCAGACAAGACCATCATGCTGCAAGTGGTGAAGGTATGACATGCATACATGCCCCATGCAGAGTGTTCATGGTCTGTGGTATGCTAAGCTGGTGCCCGCTCCGCATAAAGTGGACCTCCGGAACCCAGACAAGACCATCATGCTGCAAGTGGTGAAGGTATGACATGCATGCACCGGGCTGTACATCTGTAGGCATGGTATACCAAGCTGGTGCCTGCTTTGCATATGGTGAAGGTATGACATGCATGCATGCATGTACACGCTGTAAATTCATGAAGAAATGGTATGCCAATCTGGTGCCTGTACCCCACGTGTCTGGTTTGCGTGGTTTGACGTGGCGTATGTTACTGGTTTAGTCTGCTTGGTAAATAGTATGCTTCTTGCCGAACGCGCAGTTGTTTTTGTTTTTGTTGGCTTCTTTGCATCGCAGTCTTATTTTCCCCCAGGGTTGATTTGCTATTGCTTTAACCTTCAGCATGTGGTTTCGTGGTGTAGTTGGTTATCACGTCAGTCTAACACACTGAAGGTCTCCGGTTCAAGTCCGGGCGAAGCCACTTTTTAATGGAATTCGTCATCCAAGTATTTCAGGCTATCTAACGTCATTGTCCTTCTTACTCTTCTTATCTCCACTGCCCTCTCTCTCACTCAACATATGTTCTCAGTGTCCCCCATTCCACCCCTGCACTCCCTCCCTCTTCCCCAGACCATCTGTTTCGTCTCCATCCTCGCAGACTGCCCTAGCCAAGTACAACCTGCGTCAGTTGTGCCTCCCCCAGGTGGAAGCCAAACCCGGTGCTGCTGGGGAAGCAAAGCCAAGCCTCTCCCTCACTGAACTCATTCTCTCAGTCTCCCCTATTCCACCCCTCCATTCCCTCTCTTCCCCATACCATCTATTTGCCAAGTACACAATGTTTACCCCATATTACTCTTCCCCCGCTCTCCCCCCCCACCCCACCCTGTTCTCTCCCTCCCTCCCTCCCCCCCAGACCATCTGTTTCATCTCCATCTTAAACGATTTCAAGGCCCTTGCCAAGTACAACCTGCGCCAGTTGTGCCTCCCCCAGGAGGATGCCAAGCCTGGTGCTGCTGGGGAAGCCAAGCCTGCTGCTGCTGGGGAAGCCAAGCCTGATGATGCTGCTGATGCTAGCGCTAGTGATGATGGGGGCGATGGTAATGCTGGCGAGGACTGAACAGGCTGCTCTGGGAATCAAGCGAAGCTTGGAATCAGTGAGTAGTAAGGATCCTGTAGTACTGATAGTGTTTGCAAATCAACCGTATCCGAGCACAACGAAATGATACAATATGCACGGAAATCTTAAAATTAAGGTTTAAATATCATAGTGGCAGGTGCTCCTACAGCCCCGCGTGCTATTGTTCCTGCAGCCCCATCAACTGCCATCTGCACCAAATCAGGAGCTGCCGCTTCTGTAGCAGCTCGAGGCCCATCCTGGTTCTTCTGCAGCCCCATCCGCAGCAGCACTTGTCGTTCCTGGTGTGGCTCCTGCTGCCCCTTCAGCCTCTCCTACGGCCTCCGCCCCCCCTGCTGCGGCCTCTGCCGTGTGGCCTCTGCCGCCCCTGCTGTGGCTTGTGCCGCCCTTGCTGCCCGTGCTTTCCGGCTCGTGCATGCAGCCCTATCCTCTGCAGCTCCTTTAGCCCCACTTTCTGCCATCTCACCGACTCAGGAGCTGCCAGGCTACCCTGCCATAAGAAATTCTAGATTATGTTTAACTCTCAAAAATCGTGACTCCATGGCCCAATGGATAAGGCGCTGGTCTACGGAACCAGAGATTCTGGGTTCGATCCATCGAGGAGGTCGACATCTTGAATGATGTAGAGCGTATCATGGAAGTTGTTTTCTGGGATCCAACGGTTTTTGTCTGGGGTTTTGCGTTGATCACGCACACTTACTGAAACAATACGCCAAAAGCGCAGCACTGTAGCTTTTGGCGCAGGGTTTCTGTCTGCTACAACCCTACAAAGTTCCTATAGGCAGGAATCTGCGCGATGCCGCGGCTATCTTCAACAAACAGCAAAGCCGGGCGCGAATGACAGTGGAGCAGATAAACAGAAGATTGAAAGGGAAATTCAGAATCATCGACGACCTCGCGCCCAAACAAGGTGCCCCAGACTCGTGGGGCATGTTGTGTCTTGCACAACGTCGATAATCTTCTTGGGACTCGTCCAAGGGCCGGCCCTCCGCGTGACGAGCACGGATGGTGGTTGACCGTCCCCTCACTACTGGAGCACCCGGTTTTACTCCAAGCGCCAACATGATCAGCTTGCCTAGGTGCTGCACTCGGGGTGGGTGCAGTCCCACCCGACCAAGGATCGGGTGAGTTCCTCAAAAATGTCGCATGCACGATCAACTGCGGAGCTTATAGCGGATGCTATGTTTCCGGCCATAGCGTTTGCAATGGCCATGCCCGGCCCGCCCATATCTAGCGCCGTGTTAATCACTCACGTGTTGCGTGTTGGCATCGGTTTGCAGGAGGCGTCCTCATCTCAGTCTTGGAACTCAGGCTCCCTTGGTGCCTGGTGTCCGTTGACAGAACTACTTGGGGCGTGGAGGCAGCAGGAGGGCTCGGTGGCGCACATGTATAAGAGATGGCAATGCGAGGGGTGTCAGAATAGCAAGCAGAAAGTTAGAACAGAGAAGAGGGTTTGCACTAGCAGGCAGTTTAGTACATATAGGAAAGCCTGATTTGGGCTATACTCACTATAGAGTACCCCACTGCAGGCTAGACAAATATCACATTCTGACACACCCCCATAGTCAACGTGGGGTATAATCAGCACAGCAAGCAGTCATAGAGCAGGTTCACAAGTACAAGCAAAGCTAGAGGCATTCGCAAAGGGCAAGTGAGGAGGAGGAGGCAGGACTGTGAGAGGAGAGGAGATAGGAGGCGACGGGTGAAGCCGCAGACACACGGGCAACAGGAGCCGCACTAACGGAGTGGCTACCGGAGCAAGGGCCCCGGACTACAGGAGTAACTGGCTCCGCGGCTAAGACGAGCGGCAGGAGCAACGGACCCACGGACTACTGGCGCTGCTGGCGACACGACGGCTACCTCCGCTCAACCTCCCCCAACTGTCCCACCCCCCTTTCACACACCCCCTGCTGCACCCCTAGCTTCACTCCCACGACACCCCCCTAGCGCCACTCCCTCAACTCCCACACACCCACCCCCCTCAGCGGCAGCTGCAGCAGTGGGAGACGGAGGAGGAGGAGGAGCAGGGGACGGTTCACACACCCGCCACCCCCATACCCGCCACCCCCATACCCCCAACACAGGAGCAGATATTGAACAAAAAAAACCCATACATACACAGGACCAGTAGCATAACTCGATCTTCACGACGAAGCGTTGTACTTTGTGGGTTCGATACCCGCCTGGTTCTTTTATTTTTAGCGTTATTGTGCTCAGTTGAGCGTTCTCTTTTTACGGTATATTCAACTCAGCTCTAAGTTCCCAGCTGAGCATCAACTCCCTCATCCTGCAGCACCCCTACACTGTCACTGCTCCTTAAGGCACTTTCACCATCTTGCAATCCATCTAAACCATCTACACCGCTTTCAACCGCTTGTGCACGTAACACCACAGGCGGGCTTATAATGTCGTCGCGGCTCTGAACAAGGCAGAGCTCCAGGCGCTTGGGAGTGGGGGGAGTGAGAGAGGACTCGGTGCTGTCCAGAGGTGGAGAGCGGTGGTGCAAGGTTCGTGCGAGCACAGCCTGTAGGGAGAAAGAATGGTAGCACGAGGAGCAATCAGGTGAGGAAGGTTGCACTGCCATGGGTTGCCAATGCCAGCTCTTCTGATATAGCTTGGCCCAAAGCATGGCAGAGCGGCAGCAGACAATAGCACCAGGCCCAGCAGCAGCTGCTCACCTGTAGGGGTGCCACTGCCCGCTCTGCTGCTGCAACAGGACAGCTAGACGAACATTGAAAACCCAGCAGAGCAGCAACAAGCAGTAGCACGAGGCGCAACAGCAGCTGCTCACCTGTAGGGATGCCACTGCCGGCTCTGATGCTGCAACAGAAAAGCTAGACGAACATTGAATGCACAGCAGAGCAGCAACAAACAGTAGCACGAGGGGCAACAGCAGCTGCTCACCTGTAGGGATGCCACTGCTAGCTCTGCTGCTCTAGCCAAGTCGTGCGGATACTTCTGATGAAAGAGGGAGGGAGGGAAGGAAGGGAAGGAGAAAGTGTGGGAGGGAGAGAATGGAAGGAGAGCAGGGGGAATAAGCAGCGGAGTGAGATTTACCCGGAGAGTGCGATGTTACCAGAAGAGTGTGATGTAACCAGCACTGCGAGATGTAACCAGCAGTGCGAGATGCAACCAAAGTACTTTTGACGGATTGAGATGCAATGAGACGCCTGTTATGCAACTGTTCCCGATTCTCACACAACTGCCCCACTCACATGCGACCATCCAAGCAGCAATGCGGTCATCAAATCACCCGTTCCCTGCACGTGTGCCGTTCATTTGGGATGGCATGTGGGTTGGCACATTGGATGGCATGCAGCATGGCATGTGGGATGTCATGTGGGATGGCATGGGGGATGGCATGGGGGATGGCATGGTGGATGGGAGATGTAAGGCGTGTGACTTGGTATGTCAAATGGAATAAGGTATAGCATTTGAAAGGGCATGTGAGATGGCATGTGATATGGCATGTCGAATGCATGTAGTATGACAGGAAAAACAGCATGTGGGATTGCAGGTGGTAACTCACTCATGTGCCATGTGGAATGGCATGTGGAATGGCATGTGGAATGGCATGTGGAATGGCATGTGGAATGGCATGTGGAATGGCATGTGGAATGGCATGTGGAATGGCATGTGGAATGGCATGTGGAATGGCATGTGGAATGGCATGTGGAATGGCATGTGGAATGGCATGTGGAATGGCATGTGGAATGGCATGTGGAATGGCATGTGGAATGGCATGTGGAATGGCATGTGGAATGGCATGTGGAATGGCATGTGGAATGGCATGTGGAATGGCATGTGGAATGGCATGTGGAATGGCATGTGGAATGGCATGTGGAATGGCATGTGGAATGGCATGTGGAATGGCATGTGGAATGGCATGTGGAATGGCATGTGGAATGGCATGTGGAATGGCATGTGGAATGGCATGTGGAATGGCATGTGGAATGGCATGTGGAATGGCATGTGGAATGGCATGTGGAATGGCATGTGGAATGGCATGTGGAATGGCATGTGGAATGGCATGTGGAATGGCATGTGGAATGGCATGTGGAATGGCATGTGGAATGGCATGTGGAATGGCATGTGGAATGGCATGTGGAATGGCATGTGGAATGGCATGTGGAATGGCATGCGGGATGGCATGTCAAATGCCATGTGAAATGGCACGTTGTGTAAGGCAGGTGATGTGTGAGAATGGGACATGACAAGAGGCATGGAAAGTGTAAGAGAGATTGCATAACCATGTGGCATGTGCTGTTTCAAAGCTACAGGTGATGTACCTGGATTCGACATGGAAAACCACATGGTAACCACCTGGAACCGACATGCTAACCACATGGCAAGCACCTGGAACCGACGTGGTCACCACATGGTAACCACATGGCAAACGCACTTATAGAATGTATGTTGGCCACCGCGTATTACAATGAAGATTGCACGAGTCAGAGAGTGTGAGGAGTGTGAGAAGGAGAGTGTGAGAAGGAGTGTGAGAAGGAGGATGAGAAGGAGGGTGTCATACAGTGAAGTACTGGGGTATCTTGGGCACAGCTATGCAGAACCGTCGTAAGGAATGTGGTCCAGATGATGAAGATGGTCCAGATGGTGTGGAGCCCTCCTGAAATATGTCGACCGGAGAGTGAGGATTGGAGAGTGGGAGACAGGGTAGTGTTGGTGAGAGTGGCAAGGACAGGTACAAGAACGGACAGGTAGTGCTTCCCAAGGTCACGACAAGGAACTCAACACTAACCAAAAGGGATGTGCCTCATATGCCCACCCTGCGTCGTGTAAAACCCTCCCCGTGCTGTCCCACCCACCTCCTCTGGAGGATGAAGTCCGTTCCGTGCGCCAAAAGGAACACTGACCACCAGACCGACACTTTCTCTGAGGCGCCTCAAAAATTTGTTCTACGAGCCAAAACGAACATTGACCACCAGACCGACACGACAGTCCCCTAGCTGCCGCACTCACCTCCTCTACAGCAGCGCTGCGGGCGTCACTCCCCACCCCACCACCAGCACAAGCAGCATGTCCAACCAGGTGCGTTTTTAGTTGTCTCAATACACCGCGACCACCAGACCAACACCCTCCTTGCGGCCTCGCCCCACTCACCTACTCTACAGCAGCGCTACTGGCAACACTCCCCAGAACCAGCACAAGCAGGAAATTCAGGAGTTGTCTCAAAACACACCGTGACCACCAGACCAACACCCCCACGCCACCAGACTCACCTGCTCTTCAGCATGGCTGCTTGCGTCACTACACACTACCAGGGCAAGCACAACGTTCAGGAGTAGTCTAAAAACGCATGGTGACGACCACCAGACCAACACCCTCCATGCCGCTTCACTCACCTCCTCTGCAGCAGGGCTGCTGGCGTCACTCCCCACCACCAGCACAATCAAGAAGTCCAGCTCAATCCCCACCGAAACCACCATACCGACACCCCATGCCGCTTCACTCACCTGCTCTGCGGCACGGCTGCTGGCGTCACTCCCCACCACCAGCACGAGAAGCATGTCCAGGAGTCATTAGCCATGGAGGGTGAACAGTTAACACCCCTCAACCACCAGACCAACTCCCCCATGCCGTCTCACCTCACCCACCTGCTCTACAGCAGGGCTACTGGTGTCACTCCCCACCACCAGCAACCGTCCATCCACCTCCATGCTCGTGATCACCACCTGATGGGAGTGGTTGAACGCGGGGGAGCAGGTTTAAAAGAGGCGTTGGCTCTCAAGGACCACTCCCCGCCACCACCGCCTCCATGCTCGTGATCACCACCTGGTGGGAGTCGTTAAATGCGGTTGAAAGTGGTTGAGCTGGTTAAAACCCGCGGGCCAAGAAAGCCCAAATTGGTTCAACCTTCCTAACTTCGGTTGAGTGTGACCCTGGCACCCAAAATCTTGGCCAATTGCATTGCTCGCCCCAACCAACCTTCCTAACGTTGAACTTCTTGGCCCGCGGGTTTTAAAAAGGGTGTTGGCTCAAGGGCCACTCCACTCCACCCCACAAGCAGCAGCTGCCCATCCACCTCCCTGCTTGTGATTACCACCTGATGGGTGTGGTAAAAAAGGATTGACTCAATGGCCACTTAGATCCGCCAGCAGCAACTGCCCATGTGCTTCCATGCTCGTGATCACCACCTGATGGGATCATGGGATTGGTAGAAAGTAGTTGAAAGAGGTTGAAAACGGTTGAGCGGGCTTAAGAGAGGTGCTGTCAAGGGCCACTCTCCTCCCCCAGCAGCTGGCCCTCCACCTCCATGCTCGTGATCACCACCTGATGGAGGGGTTGAAAGCGGTTGAAGGCAGTTGAGTGTGCTTAAGAGAGGCGTAACCTATCGAGAGCCACTCCCCTCCACCACATCCAGCTGGCCCTATACCTCAATGCTCGTGATTTGAACACCACTTGATGGGATTACTGTGCCGTGTTAACAGTGAATAATGGGGTTGAAAACGGTTGAAAAGGGTTGAGCGGGCTTAAGAGAGGCAGTGGTACTTCATGGGACATCACCCCTCCACCTCCAGCAACTGGCATTTCACCTCCATATTCATTATCACCACCTGATGAGAGTGTTGTGGGGTTATTGACAGCGGTTGAGTGGGGTTAAGAGAGGTGTTTCTTTACCCTCCTGCTCCTTAATCCGCATGCTTTACCATCACCACCTCATGGATCGTGAGGAGTTGATACTGGGTAAATCAATTCAGCAGGAAAACTCGTGGATTGTCCTTCCCCTCTCGCAGCAGCACCAGAGCGTCAGCAACCAAACCATAAAGTCAGCACGCCCACCAAGCCATCCTCAGCAGGGCTGCCCTTTTCTATCCCCCTCCCCTTCCCCCCTCCCCCCACTCCCCCCCTTCCTTCCCCCAACCCCACCCCGCCAATAGGCTTAGATGATCTGAACCGACTCAATGTGATACATTTCTGGGCCCTAGAGCGTGCACTATCCTACCAATCCACCGTCATGTGTACATTCAAAACACTTTAGAGAAATTGAGATTCCCGATAGTCCCTAGCCCACATTTCTTCCTCCCGTAGCCACGGATACCTTTCTGGGCCCTGCAGCATCAAGCACCATGGTGCTAATCCTTAGTCACACCTTTGTTAGGAACACTACAGAGATTCCCGAAAGTTCCCCTTAGATACCCACTGTTCTTCCTCCCCTGTGGCCACGCATACCTTTCTGGGTCCTGCAGAATGCAGCATGTCACATGCAGTGATGGCATCTGCTTGAGTCCGTATGCTGGGAGGGAGGGAAGGAGGCGGAGGGGAGAAAAGGGAGGACATGAGATCGCTGTTTAAGTCACTTCACACACTGTCACTTGCAGCATGTCACGTGCAGAGATGGCATCTGCTGAGTTCGAATGCTGGGAGTGAGGGAAGGAAACGGAGGCGAGAGAGGTTGAATGGGCAGTTTTAAATGGCCCATGTTACCTGGAGAGGCAGTTGGAGGATGCTTAGGAGGGAGGTTGCGATCTTTGACTAAGAAATCGCCTCATCACAGATGGCCCATGTTAGCTAGACAGGCAGTTCGAGGATGCTTGAGAGAGATGCTTAATTCCTGGACGGGACATTCCCGACATGCAGTTGGTGAGTGCATCGGGGTGCACGTCACGGCAGGGAGACGGCTAAGGCAGACCAGACACGGCACGGCACGTCACGGCATGGCACGACACGACACGACACGACACGACACGACACAACTCAACACGGCACGCCACAAGAGATGCTGGAGAGATCAGTCACACGTGCCACACGTGATGTCATTCTTGTCACTAGTCATGAATTCCCGGGGGCAGGTACCTTGGAAGCCAAGACGAATAAGGCAATAAGAAGAGCAGGTTACAGATACTAATTGATTTACCTGAGGCCTGTGAGATTCACCTGAGGCCTGTGAGATTCACCTGAGGCCTGTGAGATTCACCTGAGGCCTGTGAGCTGCTCTGCTTCGAACTGGTTTGGCGTGATGAGAGTCGCGACTGGCACCACCTGCGAGCAAAAGAGGACCAGGAGATAAGGGGATGGGGAGATGGGGAGATCGGATGGGCAGGAGATTTCAGGCCCTCGGGCCACCACCGGACGGGCGGGAGATTGGGCATGATGGTGATTCCGGGACCTCGGAGAAGGACAAGCAGGGTACCTGAGGTGCCGCAGAGCTCAGGTTGACTTTTGAGGATTGGTACTATGGGGTTCCATTGGTACTTGAGGTGCCGCAGAAATCAGCTGGTGGGTCATTGTGGGCCGTCCGAGAAGGACACGGCAGAGTAGGCTGGCAGCATAATCCCTGTCTGTCTATCGGCTGGTAGGGGTACCCGCTCGGTTGGCAGTCCAGAAAGAGAGGAGCGCGGGTTGTGTAAAGGGCAGGTGACGCGTATTTCGGGAGTTTTTTTTTAAAACACGCTACCAGCTTGTGAGGGAGCATGGTTGCCTTTCTGGAAATCTCAAAACCCCCTTACAGCGTGGATAAGGCAGGTGTGAGGTGGCACCTGGTGGATAAGACAGGCGTGCAGGTGGCACCTGGTGGATAAGACAGGCGTGCAGGTGGCACCTGGTTGATAAGACAGGCGTGCAGGTGGCACCTGGTGGATAAGACAGGCGTGCAGGTGGCACCTGGTGGATAAGACAGGCGTGCAGGTGGCACCTGGTTGATAAGACAGGCGTGCAGGTGGCACCTGGTGGATAAGACAGGCGTGCAGGTGGCACCTGGTTGATAAGACAGGCGTGCAGGTGGCACCTGGTGGATAAGACAGGCGTGCAGGTGGCACCTGGTGGATGAGACAGGCGTGCAGGTGGCACCTGGTGGATAAGACAGGCGTGCAGGTGGCACCTGGTGGATAAGACAGGCGTGCAGGTGGCACCTGGTGGATAAGACAGGCGTGCAGGTGGCACCTGGTTGATAAGACAGGCGTGCAGGTGGCACCTGGTGGATAAGACAGGCGTGCAGGTGGCACCTGGTGGATAAGACAGGCGTGCAGGTGGCACCTGGTTGATAAGACAGGCGTGCAGGTGGCACCTGGTGGATAAGACAGGCGTGCAGGTGGCACCTGGTTGATAAGACAGGTGTGCAGGTGGCACCTGGTGGATAAGACAGGCGTGCAGGTGGCACCTGGTGGATAAGACAGGCGTGCAGGTGGCACCTGGTTGATAAGACAGGCGTGCAGGTGGCACCTGGTGGATAAGACAGGCGTGCAGGTGGCACCTGGTGGATAAGACAGGCGTGCAGGTGGCACCTGGTGGATAAGACAGGCGTGCAGGTGGCACCTGGTGGATAAGACAGGCGTGCAGGTGGCACCTGGTGGATAAGACAGGCGTGCAGGTGGCACCTGGTGGATAAGACAGGTGTGCAGGTGGCACCTGGTGGATAAGACAGGTGTGCAGGTGGCACCTGGTGGATAAGACAGGTGTGCAGGTGGCACCTGGTGGCGGTAGATGGGAACGAGCTCGGGGCGAATGTAGAGACGACCGTCATCCCCCATCACTGGATCGCACACTGTGAGGGGAGAGGAGGAGAGATGGGAGGGAGGGGGAGGGAAGAGTAAGGAGAGGTGGGGTTGGGAGGTGACACGGAGAGGTAGCACTGTAGAGGCGGTCATTGACCCCCACCACTGCATCGCACACTGCGAGGGGAGGGGAGGGGGAGGGGGAATTGGGATGACGAGGGGTTTAGGGTAAGGAAAGTTGGGGGTAGAGGTGACACGGAGAGGTAGCACTGTAGAGACGGCCATTGACCCCCACCACTGCATCGATCGCACACTGTGAGGGGAGGGGGGAGATAGGGGAGAGAGGTGAGGGGTAGGGCAGGAAGGGTAAGGAGAGGTGGTGGGGAGCGGTGGCAAGGAGAATCAGCAATCTAGAGACGGCCGTCGTCCCCCATCACTGGATCGCACACTGTGAGGGGAGGGGGGAGATGGGGGGGAGATGGGGAGAGAGATGGGGAGAGAGATGGGGAGAGAGATGGGGAGAGAGATGGGGAGGAGAGGTGGGTAAGAGAGAGGAACAGGCAGCAGGCCATTTTTTGCGGCACTTCTAAAGGCCGTCGTCCCCCATCACTAGGTCACACAATGCAAGGGGAAGAGTGGGAAGGGAGGTTGGGTGGAAGAGAGGGGAGAGAGGGGGGGTGGGGGGGGGGGTGTTGCAACCAGCTAGCCACCCTTGCTGTTGTGGGGGAGGCTCCACAAAGAGCCATCGCCCCCCCATCATTGGGTCCCCACTGCGAGGGGGGGGAGAGTGAGGAGAGGTGGGCCGAGAGGGCAGGCAGCAGGATGAGACAAGCAGGGCAAGGACATGTGGAGTGGAGCATCGATGAGGGCTGGGGGCAATGTTTCATCTCATTTATACCTATGGTGGGACGGTCGGACCAAACCAGCACTAGTTTTTGAGTCGACTCAAAAATAGCAATGAGGGCTGGAGCAATGTTTCATCTCTTCTACACCTATGGTGGGACGGTCGGACCAAACCAGCACTGGTTCGAACGCAACCGGGAACCAGCATGCTCACAAAACGGTACGACCAGAGCTGGTTCGGGTTGAAGTTGAACCAGTTCGGGTCCGAGCGTGAACAAACGGACTTTGGTTCGGTTCGTTGCTCATTCCTAGTACTGTTTATGAGGTTAGGGTTCACCCGAAAATTACCGTATACAAGGTCAGGGCTAACCCATGAAGCGCATATCATGTCACGAGGCTAAACCCAGAAAGTACTATACAATGTACATTAGGTTGGGGTTAACCCCAAAACTGCCAGACATCAGGTTTGGGTAAACCTAGAACTTACCATATATTAGATTGGGGTTGACCGATCTGAGCTTATCCACCACCCTCAGGACAGTCTCCAAGAAGGAGAGCGATCCGATGTAGCCTGGTGGAGGGAGAGAGAGGTAAGAGGGGCTGATTATGAAACCATGATTGCGATTTGAAGGGGTTGATATTAAGCACATCAGTGTCAGCTTAGGGTTGAATCATCTTAGCTTCTTCACGACCCTCAGGACGGTTTCCAGGAAGGAGAGCGACCGGATGTAGCCTGGCGAGGGGGCGAGAGAGGAGAGGGGGCGAGGAGGGTAGAGATGGTTAGAGAGGGAGAGAGCTGAGTTGACGTTAACATATCTGAGCTTCTCCACAACCCTCAGGACAGTTTCCAGGAGAGCGATCCGATGTAGCCTGGTGGGAGGCGAGGGCGGAAAGGGGGAGAGCTAAAAGGAGGGAAATAAAGAGAGGAGGTGACGTGATGGGAACCTATGAATGCGAAACCAACACACCGGTAAGCAGGTGCGTGTAAATGAGAAATTTACACATGCCACCACACCGTCAACACACATGCACCAAGTGCACCCACCAGTGAGCAGGTGCGAGTAGAAGAGCAGCCCATTGGCCTCCAGCCCCTCTATCAGCGCCCACAGCTGCTCCCCGTCCAGTATCTGCCCCTTCCACGTGGGGTACCCTGCAGCAGCAGCATGGGATACATGGGGTGTGTGGTGAGGTGGGAGGGACTGATAGACCCTGGAGCAGCAGCAGGCACCCAGGCTGCTAGAGGGTGCATGCACCCAGCAGGCACCCAGGCTGCTAGAGGGTGCATGCACCCAGCAGGCACCCAGGCTGCTAGAGGGTGCATGCACCTAGCGTGCACCCAGGCTGCTAGAGGGTGCATGCACCCAGCGGGCACCCAGGCTGCTGCTCCAAGGCTCAGGATGCACAGGCGCCCACCCAGCCCCTCTATCAGCGCCTACAGCTGCTCCCCACTCAGTATCTACCCCTTCCACGTGGGATACCCTGCACGCACGGGATGGGAGCGATGCATGGGGCATGCTGGGAGCCGCATGAGGCATGCGCCTCTCTCACTGCCCACAGCTGCTCCTCGTCCAGTATCCGCCCCTTCCACGTGGGGTAGCCAGGGGTATGGATGGGATGGGATGCATGGGGGCATGGTGCGAGCCACATGAGGTGTGCCCCTCTCTCACCAACCACACCTGCACTGCTCTCCGTCCAGTGTCTGCCCCTTCCACGTGGGGTACCCTGCAGCAGCAGCACGCATGGGACGGATGCATGGGGCATGTGGTGAGGTGGGAGGAGTGATGGACCCTGGGGCAGCAGGCACGCACCCAGATGGGATGGACAAGCGCCGGTCCCGCACCAGTGCGGTTACCAACATGCGCACCAGTGTGGTTACCAACATGCGCACCAGTGTGGTTACCAACATGCGCACCAGTGTGGTTACCAACATGCACACCAGTGTGGTTACCAACATGCGCACCAGTGCGGTTACCAACATGCGCACCAGTGTGGTTACCAACATGCGCACCAGTGTGGTTGGAGAGTTGCACGGAGTTAATTGGGTCCACATCAAAGCCCAGCAGCTGGAGGGGGAACACGGCCGCCTTGTTGCCCACATACCCCTGGTGCATTCACAGCCAACAGGGTACAAGGGGTTTGGGGTTGGAGTTTCTCATAGTGTTTCTGTTCGGTTTTCTGTTCAAACATGGGCATGCCATTTGGATCAGCGCAGCTGCAGGAGGAACAACGCCGCCTTGTGGCCCACATAGCCCTGCCGCATGGGCATCCAACAGGGGTACACTGGGTTTAGGGTTTCTCTCAGGATTTCTCTTAGTTTTTCTGTGGGGCCATGAGCACGCCATTTGGACCAGGGCACCTGCAGGGGGTAACACGGCGGCCTTGTTGCCCGCATACATTGGGGTTTCTCTCAAGAATTCCGGAGCACAGACAAGGGAAACACAGGCGCCTTGGATGGTAAGCATGCCATTCGCTTCCCAGCAGGAGCAGCTGCCGGGGGAACACGGCCACATTGCTGCCCACCCACATAGCTCCGACGCATGGTGTTTTTGAGAATTCTCAAAAACACCCTGCAACACCAGGAGCTGCTGCCGGGGGAACCTGGCCACCTTGCTGCCCACCCACATAGTTCTGACGCATGGACCGGGTACGAAGCAATATAGATATATGACCGAAGTGTCAGGGTTTAAACACATAGATGTATAAATATAAGTATGTATAGATAGATATATGTATGCATGTATATACATACACTCATACACTCAATGCAGACACACGCCATCACACACGCGTTCGCATGAGCCCATGCTTCATACACTTAATGCATGACCGAGACACTCAGAGCTTCATACCAGACTTCGTATGATCGTACTAAGCAAGCACCTGAGAGACACCGGAGAGACACCTGGGATGGGCACCTGAGAAGGGAACCTGAGAGACACCTGAGAGGGGCACCTGAAGGGGACACCTGAGGGAAGCCTGAGAGGGACCCCCTGAGAAAATACCTGAGAGGCGCGCCTGAGAGACACCTGAGATGGGCGCCTGAGAAACGCCTGAGCGGGGCACCTGAGAGACACCTGAGGTGGGCGCCTGGGGAACACCTGAGAGAGGCACCTGAAAGGGGCACCCGAGATGGACACCTGAGATGGGCACCTGAGAGACACCTGAGAGACACCTGAGAGGACACCTGAGAGGACACCTGAGAGGGCAACCCGAGAGACACTTGAAGGGGACTCTCGGCCACCGGCGGTTGCTTTGGCTACCGTAGATTACCCTACGTAACTTAAAAACGCTGCCTTGCATTGCCTACGCCGGGGTAGCGTAACGACGCCGGTATCGTTTGCTTACCTGGCATCTGCGTGAGTACATGCTATCTGGACCGCGAGCAGGTGAATGCGACGGTGACCTACACGGTCTGGGACGGAATGCGAAGGATACCTGGACGGTGTACGACTGCATGCGACGGATACCTGGACGGTATGTGACTGAATGCTGAGCACGCGACCGCCCCCGTGCAGGGCGACAGAGAGAGACAACGTCATCGCTACCGCATGGAAAAACGTCATCATGAGCGGCAGAAGTGCAAATGAAACTATTTTAATAGTTTTTTGACTTTGTCTCTCACATCCGTTGTAGTCTAGTCGGTTAGGATACTCGGCTCTCACCCGAGAGACCCGGGTTCAAGTCCCGGCAACGGAATGTTTTATGTAGCAACTTTTCCCCCAATGGACGGTTTTCAGTGTTTGGACATGTTTCCGGCCAAGCGTTTTTCCCGAAAGAAATGTTCGCCACGGTTTGCGAGTTTCGTCCTGTAAACGGCCACTCTAACGTCCGAGACCACACGTGCCGAGGCCTATTAAAGCAATGGTGCAGTTTTGGGGGGGGTTGGAGGCAAAGGTTTATCACTTGCCTCTGGATGGTTACCGGGTTTGTGGTTGGGCGTGGGAGGCAACAAATAATTGCCCCAACCCCTGCGGAGAGTGACGAGGTGTTCCCCCTGCTAGTAGTGCGCGAAGGAAACAGGGCTGGGAACTTGTAGGGACCACAGTAGAGTTTGTGTAATAAAATACAACTCACTCGACAACAACCCAACCACAAACACGGTTAATGAGAGGTCATGGCGGGCCCGAATACCACAGTAAAAATTGTGTACCAAACACACAACTCACTCGACAACAACCCAACCACAAAAGCTGAGGGCCCGCCATGGAGGTCATGGTGGAAAAGGTATTTGATCGAATACCATCGTTTTATACTATTCGAATACGTTGAATGTTGCCGAATACGGCCGAATACGAGTCGAGTATCGAGTACGACCTTATAAACTTGGTATGCCTGTCTTAATTAAAAAGTTTTTGATACATTCAATCCTGTGATACAACTACAATTGTGCTAAACTTAGCCTAGCATGCAACAACAAGCACACCTCTGTCCTAAAAAGCAAATACTAAACTACCACTCCCTGCATGTGAGCTCAAACCATGACCTAAGACACAAACATTCTCGAATTGTCTTAATCGGTTATGAGACGATGGGAAATGGAGAAGGTGCGTTCCGATTTGGCGGAAGTTGCCGGAATTGCAAGGTAGAAAGAAATAGGGAATCGTGCACCATGCACTTTCCACCACATGTTGAAAGTTTGATATTTTGCCTTAGAGTCCATGCTCACCCCTTCTTCTTCAAGATACTTGGTCATTTGCACGGTGGTGGATTGACGCACCCCGTTGTCGCGGGAATGAAAGAGACCACCAAGGAGAGAGGATGTGGAACGAGAGGAAGTTGATGTTTGATCACGCGAGTCGTTGTTATCTTCCGCTTCCATGTTGCGCTTGTATGCCTCCCCATAACTGCTTCCATGAAAGTCTCCCTGACTGGGCGCGTCGAAACATGTCCGGCATCCGTGTTTGCCCCCTCCGATTGAACCTTGGATCAAGGAGCGTTGCAACCGTGTACTCCTCGGAAGAACGGTCGTAATAGTTCTTTGGCGCTGTTCTCCAGGCAGGTGGCATTGGCATGGCAGCGGCATCAGTTTCTGCCGCCAGAAACTTCCCCTGGAGCTCGAAGCATTTTCCCTGCTTGGGAAAGTTCGCATTTCGGCTTAGGAAAGCGGGAGCCCGAGAAGCTTCCGCCCCCTGTTGCAACAGTTTCGTCACGGGCTGGGTATAAATTTTATCAGCAATCTGGGGCAGGGTTGGGTAAAAAGCGATCGGAAAACGAAAAACTAACCAGTCCCCACAAACCCTGGTCGTCAAGCACATTTATTTTTACAAGGGCGCCTTCGGTTGCTGTTTTCTTTTCAACAGGGTGAGATTGCGGGTTTCCCAACTGGCCGATGCCTCTGCCATCTCGTGGCCAACCACCTCTCTCGGGTGGTTTGCCACGGGGTGGCACAGGCACCACAAATTGCCTGAGAGGGAAAACGCAGGGAGGTTTCGAACCCTTCTGATGCCGTCGCCAAAAGAAATGTTCTGCAGCCAATGTCATTCTGACGGCATCGACAGAAATGAAACAATTTTTTGGGCTGCCCCCCAAAAAGTCAACGTTTTGGCAACTTCCCTGCACATTCTTCCGACGGCATCGAATGCCTGGAGAACAGCGCCTTTAGCTTTGCAAGGCCATTATTGCATGCTTCCAAGATCTCCCCACCGTCCCTCGTCCACCCCTCCATCTTATCCATTAGAATTTTTATAAGTGGGATACAAAAGGAAACACTAGAATAAGAACTCCCCTATAAAACCGTGGTAAACTCCGCAAAAGGTGAAAGGATGTTGGCGAGGACTTGAAGAGACTCCCATTTCTCGTCCTTCAATTTGAGCGCTCGTTCCACGTCCTCTGTTACTTCTCCCACCAAGTAGGAATCGATTGCGGGTCGGAGGAGTAACGCTTGATCAAACATGTTATGGTTGCTCCCCCATCTAGTCGGCGTATCCAAAGCAATGGAGTTGACATCAATGAAACCCTTCTTGCAACGGTTTGCAAAATTCCCCATACGCAAAGGGGATCCCCGAATGTGAACGGCGAAGCCCCGAACCTTCTTGAGAGCCACATCTACCATGCCATCTTTCAAGATTTTTTCAACGACAAGGTTGAGAACATGTGCAAAACACTGCATGAGCCTTGCACTCGGGACCCCTTCTCATCCACAAAAAGTTTGATAAACCGGTCGTTGGAAAATGCATTATCCAGCGTGATTGCCATCAATTTTTCCCCAAGCCCCCACTCATCATACACCGACTCCGTGAATGCACTTTTTATAGCCTCACCTGTGTGCCTCCCCTCCCAAAGTGTAAAATCTAGCACGCATGACCTATTGTTGAAATCCTTGTCAACAGAATGTGACGTGGCGACCATGTATACACGAGTGTTGGGTGCCGTCCAAATTTCACAAGTGAATGCAATCTTGGAGGGAAGTGCTTGAAAGTATGCACTAAGTCTACCCACATACTCATTATACTTGGTCGTCAAATCGCTTGAGATGATTTTGCGCGAAAATTTGGTCGCTTGAGGGTTGAGCCACTTCAAGTAATCCTTGGAGCCTTTGTCTTCGATGGCGGAGAAGGCGATGGAGCATCTCGAGAAGACTCGGACAAGCCGCTCGCGGTTTTCACGCTCCGTGTAGGCCGTCGTCCGTGTCAAGGAACGAATTATGTCCCCACATCCGCAACCATCCTTCGTTGCGAGCTCAACTTCAAATACCGTAACGTACTCCTTAGGATGCTTCGACTTGGCGTGATTCCGCATCGCAGTGGTGAAAGTGCCCTTAACGGATATGATGCTATCAACACCTTTGGGGGGACAATAAGTATACCTTGTCTTTTCCTCGCCATCAATCTTTGAGAACAATTTCCAAATCTAGGAGGTTTCTAGTCTTCACGCGCTTCCTACTCGGTTCGGTAGCGCCATCGTCACCCACGAAACATGGTGATTTGCTCTGACTCTCTTGAATGCGAATATGACCGTCATTACACGTAGGTGAGAGGATTCCAACTTCGTCGGTGTTAAGGACGGGATAATCGGATGTACGGATATGTTTCTGCTCCCCTTGACTTTTCCTTCCCACTTCCCTGTCCCTTCTGTGGTGCAGCTTATTTAGCACGAAGCAACCAAGAAGACAAGTTCCTAGTTAGATTGATGATTGTTTGGACCCTCGTCGTATCGACACATCAAATAGCAAGTTATTTACATAATACAGTCAATTAAGGGTTCTATAATTCCAATAGTGATTGGCATTGGTGATGTGTTGTTACATGTAAAGGTCTCTCATTTGGACTACACCATGATTTACAGAACAAGAAACTGCTATATAAGGAACTCAAGATAAGGGAGAGCATCTTTCCACGCTGCATGACAACATGTGCACTATGCGGGCTATGCCGTTCAGCACCCCGCGGAACTTGCCCGTGTGCTGCTGCAGCACCCCCTGCAACCCTCGCCCGTACTGGTGAAGGGGAGCAAGGGGCAAGGGAGAGGACGGGGTTGGGGAGGGAGGGACAGGGCATTGTTAGTGATTTGGGAAGGGCTATGCAGAGTTGAGGTTGTCACACACATGAAATTATGGCAATGGGAGCAGTAGGGGTGGGCTTGGCTTGAAAGAGGTGCGTGCGAGGGTTAGACTATGAGCGAGGGAGGCAGAAGCGGGGGTGAAGGGAGGGAAGCGTACGGCATGGTGCTGTGCAATAGATGGGGGCCATGCGAGGTTACCTCGGATCCGCGCACTTCTATAGCGTACGTGGGTGTCCATGTCTGAGTACACTATGCTGCCCTATCAGCACACACATGGACATACATGTCAAGATAGCAGCATAACTAGGAGCTAGGGTTTTTGTAGGGCCTAGGCTTAGTAGCCTAGGCCAAGGGGGGTATCGAGGGAGTTGTGCCAAGAAGAGGTGATTGCACTATGGAATGAGGAGTACAAATAGGCAAGGAGCAAGAGCAACTAGGGGTGATCCACCAAACAAAATACAGGATAACTACACTACAAATAAACCAAAAGCAAGTATATAAAAGATATGAAATATATTTCGACACGCCCCCATAATTGCTTACGGAGTGTAGTTATCACCCCCTGAAAGGGATACACCAATACGGGTAGGAACACGGGCATGAAGAGAAGCACAGGAACGACACTGGAAGCACGGGGGACATGGGAGTGGGGTGAGAGGAGGAGGAGGCGGCTGATACTGCAGCTGGACTCACACCACCCCCTCAACCTCCCCCCCACAGCAGCAGCAACAGCAATGAGGAGAGAGAGGAGGAGGAGGCGTGGTGGCAGTTGCTGCAGTTGAGTCACCCACCACCCACACCCCCTGAACCTCCCCACCACTTCACACTCCCCCCCACAACAGCAGGTGCGGCCGTGAGAGAGAGAGGAGGCAGGCTGGCGCTGTAGGTGCAACCTCCCCCTCACACCCTCCCACCCTCCCCCCAACTGCTGCACGCACAGCAGGGAGAGGGAGGAGAAGGGTGGGGGCGGGTTAGGAGCTGCGCGTGTGGCTGCAGATGCGTGTGCAGCTGCGTGCGTGCGTAGCTGTGCGCGGCTGCGCTCGTGGGGCAGCAGGGCGCGCAGGGCAGCAGGATGTGCGGGGTGCGTAGGGCAGCAGGTGGCGCGGGCAGCAGGGCGCGCGGGGCGCGCAGGGGCAGTAGGGCGCGCGGGGCACGCAGGTAGCAGGGCGCGCGGGGCGCGCAGGGCAGCAGGACGCGCGGGGCGCGCTGGCAGCAGGGCACGCGGGGCGCGCAGGGGCACGTGGGCAGTAGGGCGCGCGGGGCGCGCAGGGCAGCGGGGTGCGCAGGGCAGCAGGGCGCGGGGGGGCGCGGCAGGCAGCAGCGCATGGCAGAAGGACGGGCGCACAGGGCAGCAGAGCGTGCTGTGCGCGAGGGGCAGCAGGGCGCACGGGGAGCGCGGGCAGCAGGGCGCGCGGGGCGCGCAGGGCAGCAAATCGACGCGCGCTCGAGGTGTGCGACGGGCATAAACCGACGCGTGCTCGAGGCGCGCGACGAGCAGAAACCGACGCGCGTGACAGGCGCGCTATGGGCAGAAACCGACGCGCGCGGCGAGCACGCGACGGGTAGCATGACGGAAGCTAACGGTGGGCCCATTATCATAAAAACCGGTCCGAGGAGGAACCGCTATGATACCATGTCAAGATAGTAGCATAAGTAGGAGCTAGGGTTTTTGTAGGGCCTAGGCTTAGTAGCATAGGCCTAGGGGGGTATCGAGAGAGTTGTGCCAAGAAGAGGTGATTGCACTATGGAATGAGGAGTACAAATAGGTAAGTAGCAAGAACAACTAGGGGTGCACCACCAAACAAGATACAAGATAACTACACTGCAAATATACCACAAGCAAATTTATAAAATATATGAAATATCGACAATACAGCCCACGGCACACGTTGTGTGCGTGCAGGTGTGTGCGCCGCCACCCGCGTCGCCACGTCCATGCGCGCACGCTCCATCGTGCGCATTCCCTCCACCACCATCCGCGCCTCCTCCTCCGTCGCGTGCCGTGCTGCCTCCGCCTCTCTCGAGTGTGCCTCCGTTGCCTGCGCCGAGTCCCGCCCCCACTCCTCCGCTGCCGACTCCGCCGCGGCCATCTGCTCAGCGTGGCGCAAACCCTCCGACTGATCCTCCACCTGCGCCACCTCCCCGCGGAATCCTCCACGTGCACCTCTAGCATCTGCAGCATGGCGTGGAGCGACGCAATGGCCGTGTCCTACTCACGCACCACCTCCTTCACCACGTCGTCGCGCTACGCCACCGCCTCACCCAGCTTCGCCTGCGGCTGCTTCAGCACGCACTGCAAAACCTTCTCTTCCCCCTCCGCCCCCTCTTGCAGGTTCCCCCTCTCCTCCTCCGCACTCTCGCGCGCCTACGCATACCCCCACGCGCGCTCTTGCCACTCGTACACATCCTTGGGCAGCTGTGTGCGCATCAGCATCAGATGAGGAGGCGAGGCGGCACTGGAGGTCAAATGGCAGGACGCGACGCAACCGCGCAGGTGACAACGTCGCGAGCTAGCCGTAATGGCGCTATTCGCATGCGCTGGGGCATAACTTTGTACCCCAGGGGGAGGCGGACACTCTACACGTGGGCTATGTCGTATCGGCGCTTAGGGAATAGTTGCTTATATTCCTGGTATTTGTAATGCTATTTCTACGCTTTCAAGTCGAAACTTTCCTTGGTTTATCGCTTGCCTTGTCAGGTTGATCGGCTCACATTATCTCCGCTAGGTAGTTTGCGCCCTACGCTTGAAATTGGCTCTTCCGCAGTGTGTTCCCCCAACCCAACCTCCGTACAAAATTGGTTGGCATCACCAGCCTTGTTTCAAATTCGCCCCCAAATCAGCAATCGTCAAAGGGTGTGCACTAACAATGCCCCCAAAAACCACCCCCAGGAAATTGCACCATTGCTTTAAAAGGTTTGGGACCACGCGGATGATTTTGGGTGTCCTGCGCATGTGGCATTGTGTTTTTTAGGGTTCAGAATTTTGATCCCTAAAAATCAGAGCTTGATACGTTTTTTTAATAGCACAGCTTGGATAAGCAACTTCCAAGCAGCCGCGCGACATGGCAAAAAACAAAAACAATCATTGACGCAGCTCTCATGATCGCTTCGGCCGGCCAGGCGAGGCCCTCTGGCGCACGCGACAATGAGCACGTGCCAGCGGCACCCTCGAGGCACACGCCCTCTGCTGATGTGAGCCACCTTGCCTTGACCACTGTGCAGGTTCATGCGTTGCTGGCGATGTTACAGCAGCACGCACCTGTAACGGCGGGGACTTCTAACAATGAAGAAGTTACAGCAAAAAATAACAAGAAATAAGAAAATGTCGTCGCCCCTCGCTCGCCCAAGGCCGCTCATGTCGAGAAGAACCCCGCTCCGGCACCCGCCGAAGATGACAGCGACGAATACGATGATGCTGCTGGTGAGGCTCCTCGCTGCTGCAATCCATTTTTTTCCAATGCTTCTCACCCACACTCCCCTCGTTCCGTCCTTCAACAGCATGTCAGAATACTGTAGCTCATGCATATTGTGTAGGCTATAGTGGGGTAGCCCATAAGGGGTACAACCCAATTAGGGTTAGTACTTGTACCCAATTCATTCATAGTTCATTCATTCCTTGTTTCTTCTCATGGTATCGAGCAGGTTCCCTCGTGGGAACTGTTCCTAGGGCCCACCGTTTTTTTTTTTTTTTTTTTTTTTCCTGCCCGGAGCGCACCCAGCCCCTGCCCGAGTCGCGCTCCCCTCTCTCGCGCCGCCCTAGCGGCCCCTTCGCGCCGCCCTCGCGGCCCCTTCGAGCCGCCCTCGCGGCTCTGTCGCCCTACCCTAGCGACCCCGCGGCCCCACCCTCGCGGCGCCGGCCGCCTCCCTTCGCGGCCCCTACTCCGCCGCCCCTCGCGGCCCCGATCCGCCGCCCTCGCGGCCCCGCTCCGCCGCCCTCGCGGCCCCGATCCGCCGCCCTTCGCGGCCCCTACTCCGCCGCCCTCGCGGCCCCTACTCCGCCGCCCTCGCGGCCCCGATCCGCCGCCCTTCGCGGCCCCGATCCGCCGCCCTCGCGGCCCCTACTCCGCCGCCCTCGCGGCCCCGATCCGCCGCCCTCGCGGCCCCTACTCCGCCGCCCTCGCGGCCCCTACTCCGCCGCCCTTGCGGCCCCGATCCGCCGCCCTCGCGGCCCCGATCCGCCGCCCTCGCGGCCCCGGCCCCTGCTCCTACGGCCCCGGCGCCTGCTCCTACGGCCCCCCACGCCTACTCCTACGAGCAGCCCAGCCGCCGAGCCGCCCAGCAACCGAGCAGCCCAGCCGCTGAGCAGCCGAGCCGCCCAGCAGCCGAGCCGCCCAGCCGCCGATACGCCCAGCAGCCGAGCCGCCCAGCAGCCGAGCCGCCCAGCCGCCGAGCCGCCCAGCAGCCGAGCCGCCCAGCAGCCGAGCAGCCGAGCCGCCCAGCAGCCGAGCCGCCCAGCCGTCGAGTCGCCGAGCCGCCCTGCAGCCGAGCCGCCCGAGCCGCCCTGTCCGGTAAGAGCAGCGCCTCTCTCACAGCACTGCCCTCACCCTACTGTTTGCACTGCTAGTCTACTGCTGTCATGGCTTCCCCTAGTGTCCTCGCTTTTGACGCTGAGGGTCGGGCCATTGACTTTGAAGTCTGGATAGATGACCTGCAACTTTTCTTACAGTGCGATAGGGCAGACGGCCTCTCCCTCTTTGACTTCACTTCTGGTGCCTCTCCTGCCCCCGCTGCTGATGCTGACGCCACTGTTCGCTCACAGTGGGCCACGCGCGATGCTGCTGCACGTCTTGCTGTGCGTCACCACCTACCTACCTCTGAGCGTGCGCACTTTAGCCAGTACAAGAGTGCTCAGACCTTGTACGACGCTGTAGTTGCACGCTACTCCTCCCCTGCCACTGCTGCACTGAGCCGCCTCATGCTACCGTACCTCTTCCCTGACCTTGCTGCCTTTCCCACAGTCGCTGACCTCATTACGCACCTCCGCACTAGTGACACTCGCTACCGCGCTGCGCTTCCTGCTGAGTTCTGCGCCAAGAACCCCCCCCCCATGTACATCACCCTCTACTACATAGTCACCCGTCTCCCTGACTCCCTTCGCGTAGTCAGGGACCACTTCCTCTCGGTTTGCCCCACCACTCTCACCGTTGACCTCCTCGAGAAGGCCCTCCTAGCAGCAGAAAAGAGCATAGTCGCTGTAGGAGCCTCTCGTGGTGACCCTCGCACCCCCATCTTTGAGGGGTGTTCCCCCTCCCCTCTTTTGCCCTCTGTTGCCTCTGTTGCTGCGGCCGACCTCGCTGGTTTGGAGTCGGTTGGGGCAGCGTCTACCCCTAGCGGGAGACGCCGCCCTGGCAAGGGCAAGGGGGGCAGGGGCGCTGGAGGAGCTAGCGGGGGCGGTGGAGGCGGCGGTGGAGGCGGTGGAGGAGGTGGGGGTGGCGGTGGGGGTGGTGGCGGGGGTGGAGGTGTAGGTGGCGGCAGTGGAGGCGCAGGCGGCAGCGGCGGTGGCGGAGGGAGCGGAGGTGGCGGCGGTGGAGGAGGAGGCGGCGGAGGAGGTGGAGCTGGTCGGGGTGGCGCTGCGCAGAGGGTCGGCTCCAGTGGTGGTCAGCGCCAGCAGCAGCAGCAGCAGCAGCAGCAGCAGTAGCAGCGCACTCGTGACGTCCCCTCCCCTCAGCAGCTCCGTGAGTGGTACACTGCACGCCAGAGGGGTGGGGGTACTGGTCCGTGCACCTACGTCCTGCGCACCGGCGACCGCGCGGGTGAGCAGTGCGGGGGTGCGCACTCCACCCAGCGCTGCTTTGGCCGCCTGACGGACGCTTGGCGTCACCAGTTCCCTGAGGCCACTGAGATCCCCCGCTGGGGTGAGCTGTCTAGGGCGGGTGTAGCTGTCTTTGACCTTGACTTTGATGCTATTCTTGCTGCCATGTATACTGTGACTATTAGTGATGAGGGTGACTGTTACCGGTGTTTTCCGCCCGACCCGGGCATTGAGACTGCTGCTCTAGGTACTGGTGAGGCTGCTGCTCTAGGTGCTAGCGAGGCTGCTGCTCTAGGTGCGTCTGCTCCCTCAGGTACTGGTGAGTCTGCTCTCTCAGGTTCTGCGTCGGCTTCGGCCTCCCACACCTTCACCCTTGACTCGGGGGCTTCTCGCTCCTTCTTTCGAGACTGCACCACACTCACGCCGCTTGGCCGGCCAGTTGCGGTCTCTCTGGCAGACCCCTCTGGGGGTCCTGTCCTTGCTCACTTCTCCACTGTCCTCCCGTGTCCGGCGGCCCCCTCTGGCACCCTGTCTGGTCTTTACCTCCCCTCGTTCTCTACGAACTTGGTGAGTGGTGCTGACCTACAGGATGCGGGGGTTCACCAGTTCACTCCTGCGAGTCAGCGGGTGACCCACTGCACGGACGCTCGGACAGGCCGACACCTGGCCACGTTTACACGTCGGCCGGGGTCGAGCCTGTACACACTGACCACTGCGTCTCCCCCAGTCCCTGCGTCTGGTCAGGTAGCAGCGTCGGGTCAGGTGTTTGCTGCAGCGTCCAGGTCTGGTCCTGAGTCTGCCCCCTGCTCGTGTCGCCTCCTGTCTCACGAGACTCTCCTCTGGCACCACCGCCTTGGTCACCCCTCCCTGCTTCGTCTCCGGAGCATGGCCTCCCGTGTCCTTGTCTCTGGTCTTCCCCGGTCCCTCCCTCCACTTCCTCCTGGGCCTGGCCCTACCTGCGTCCCCTGTGTCGAGGGACGACAGCGGGCTACCCCTCACTCCTCCCAGTTTCCTCCGACAGAGGCCCCGCTGCAGACGCTTCACATGGACGTGTGGGGCCCGGCCCGCGTCCGTGGACAGGGTCACGAGCGCTACTTCCTGCTGGTGGTTGACGACTACTCGCGTTACACCACAGTCTTCCCCTTGCGCAGCAAGGGTGATGTCACTGAGGTGTTGATCGACTGGATCCGCGCAGCTCGTCTCCAGCTCAGGCGGAGCTTCGGCTCGGACTTTCCTGTTCTGCGTCTGCACTCTGACAGAGGCGGAGAGTTCTCCTCTGGCCTTCTGCGAGCCTACTGTCGTGCACGAGGCATCCGCCAGACCTTCACGCTTCCGGACTCTCCACAGCAAAATGGGATTGCTGAGCGCC